AAATAGCATACAAGGATGATCATGCAATCTCATGCAATTCGTGTTGGGTTTGGTTGTCAGTATGTGCTGGTTATCGCTCTTGTTGCTCTTGTTGTTGCGGCTGTTGTTGTTGACGATGTTGTTGTTGACGATGTTATTGTTGTTGCGGCTGTTGTTGTTGACGATGTTGTTGATGTTGTTGTTGTTGCTGCTGTTGTCGTCGTCGTCTTTGTTGTTGTTTCTTATTTCTTAGAAATTTTTCGTGATATTTTTTCCGTCATATCATTTGCACTTCCAGACGATCAATACATTTGTTTTGTCGGGGGAAAATGTTTTTCAAAATTAATTTTTTTTTGGTTTTGTATATAATTTTTAGTATTTATGTGTTGCTGTTGTTGCTGCTGCTGTTGTAAAACGTACACACAGTCGTACGCACACACGTACACACACACACACACACACATTTATGTGTTGCTGTTGTTGCTGCTGCTGTTGTAAAACGTACACACAGTCGTACGCACACACGTACACACACACACACACACATTTAACATGTTCCGACATCAAATTGTCATCAATATCGTAAATACATCTACACACCACACACACGCATACTCACACACCACACGCGCATACACAAATACACAGCCACACACATATACACACACAGCCACACACATATACACACACAGTCACAAACACACACACATTCAAACAAACAAACATTTTAAAAAATTCCTTTTAAAAAAAACTCTAAACATGCAAGTTACGAGGGGGTCCGTATCATTATGTAGTCTCGTTTTTTTATCGATTATTATTATTAGTATTATTGTTATTATTATTGTTGTTATTATTATTGTTGTTGTTATTATTATTATTGTTGTTGTTATTCATTTTTTTTCATTGAGTGCTTACGTCAACGTTACCTTCCCCCTTCAACATCACATGTGTGAATGAATGAATAAATGTAGAATAATAATAACAACAACAACAACAATAAAAGTAGCAACAACAACAATATCAATAATAATAATAATCATAATAATAATAAATAATAATAATAAATAAAAATAATAGTAGTGGTAATGGTGGTGGTGGTAGTGGTAGCAATAGTAGTAGTAGTAGTAGTAGTAGTAGTAGTGGTAGTAGTGGTAGTAGTAGTAGTAGTAGTAGCAGCAGCAGCAGTAGTATTAAACTAATAGTTAGAAATTGTTAAGCATGCATTCGTTCAAATGCAATATTGGTGAGTGTGGGCACCATAATTCTGAATATATTGGTACGACGACGATATATATATATATATATATATATATATATATATATATATATTATTATTATCATTATCATTATCATTATTTATTACTTCGAATGACTGTTTAATTGTTAGCACAGATAAACAAAAAAAAAAAAAAAAAAAAAATACCGATAAAGGTAACGCAGCGCCAACCAGCTTCTTCCAATGCAAACAAACTCTACGAACATAAAGAACAAAAATTAAACTTTCTATAGATAGAGTTATCCCACTTGCAGACGGGTAAAGTGGTTTTGATCACGTTTCTTTGCTACCTGCCAACATTTACACTTACTGTTTACCAACGCAACGCTAAAGTTAGCGGCAAACTTTATTTTGTACAGAACCAACCGGCTTCAAATGCAAACAAATCCCAGACAGTTAAGTCATAAATAGAACCAGGCATATTTAAGTGCGATTGAATGAATGAATGTTAAAAAAATGAATGAATGAAAGAGACATTTTTTTATTAATCTATTTTGACGAGTGTTTAATGCTTCGCCTGTTTGTGACAAGAAGATAACACATTCCTTGCACTAATTCGTTCATTCATTCATTCATTCATTCATCATTCAATCAATCAATCATTCATTCATTCAATCAATCATCCATTCAATCATTCATTCATCCATTCAATCATTCATTCATTCATTCATTCATTCATTCATTCATTCATTCATTCATTCATTCATGCAATAATCTTATTTCACAGCAACGCCTTTATTTCAGTCCGTGACGAGAGTAAACATGGTATTGCATTGTTAATTATTTAAGAAAATGTCATCATCATTATTGTTATTATTATTATTATTATTGTTGTTGTTGTTGTTGTTGTTGTTGTTGTTGTTGTTGTTGTTGTGTTGTTGTTATTATTGTTATTATGTGGTTTACATTGTTATATAAAACCACGACAACAACAACAACAATAATAATTATTTTGATGACAATTCTTCTTGCTCACTAAGCGATCACACCAGACGAAAATTAACAAGGCTCTCAACGACTGCAAAAACAATAATAATAATAATAATATTATTATTATTATTAATAATAATATTAATAATAATAAACATCTCAGCTGCAATAACAACAACGTTAACGCAGCAGGACCCAGAAAACGACTTTTTCATTCATTCGTTCGTTCGTTCGTTTCTTCACTCTTTCATTCCTTCGTTCGTTCGTTCTATTCTTCACTAATTCATTCGTTCGTTTATTTCTTCATTCATTCATTCATTCGTTCGTTCGTTTATTCATATATTACGTTGTCAATTAATGCATTCATTTGTTTGTTGGTTATCTTGTTATTTCTTCATTTTTTTCTTCCATTTATTCATCTATTCATTTTTCATTCATTCATTCATTCGTTCGTTCGTTCCATCGTTCATTTGTTACTTCATTAATCCGTTCACTAGATAAAACCTTAATTCTTTCATTCACTCATTCGCTCTCTCACTCGGTGTGTATGTTTGTGTCATTTATCATTGTCGCATCAACATTCTTATATTTTTTATTCATTTTTTCGATCATATGTTTGATCAATCAATCATTTTATTGTCTATTCAATAATTTATTTTCTTCATTTATTCAATCATTCACTCTTTTATTCATTCTATCATCAAATCCCCAAGCACATTCTTTCCATAAACTTAAACTTACGCACACGAAAAAATAAACGAACGAGCGAACGAACGAACGAACGAATGAACGAACGAACGAACGAATGAACGAACGACAAACGGTCGAGTATACTGCAGTAAGGTGATACAGGCTTCGATAAAAACTACTCCCTCGCTATTAGTCAATAAAATGAATGGATGGAATGAATGAATGTTATGGAATAAATGAATGAATGAATGAATGAAACAATAGAACGTTTGACTCTCTCTCTCTCTCTCTATCTCTCTCTTCTCTAATAGATTTTTAAATTAATGTTTCCAACAAACAAACAAACAAACAAGTTGTAAATAATTTTATTCTACAAAAACACGTTCAGAAAAAGTTATACAAATATACATTGCAAAGTTAAAACCGTAAATATACAGCACACCCTTCAATAAAAAACACCCACACACACACACACACACACACACACACACACACACACACACACACACACACACACACACAAAAACACACTAACACACACACACACACAAACACATACAACATAAACAAATACACAGAAACACATTTAGTGTATCTATATAGCGCTTTATTCGTCCATTCTATTCCATTAAACTGGAATTGAATATATAGGAATCAACAAACAACAACAACAACACACGTTTAGACGACATTTTCCCCGAGATCGGGGGTTGCCGTTTGGCTACCTATGATGAAACCGAAATACCCCTCGACGCCATTCCATCATAAGTAATTTATTTGGCTAATTTTTACGCAGGACGCCCTTCCTTACGCAACCACAATTATAAGCGGTGGGCCTAGCCTTTGATGATCCAACATCACTCACAAGGCAGTGAGGGTCAGTTTAATGTCATAACCAGGACACTTATATATAGGAATCAAATAAAACAATTAACAACAATGTCGATAAAGATTATAGTAACTGCTGGATGCATAGAGCTTTGCGTGTGTGTGTGTGTATGCGTGCGTGTGTGTGTGTGTGTGCGTGTGTGCGTGCGTTGATGTCTCTTAGAAGTACTAGACAGAATTATAATGCACAACAACAACAATGAACAATAACAATAACAAGCGTTATAGTCATCGTTGTTGTTATTATTATTATTATTATTATTATTATTAATATTATTTATAATTTCATTCCGAAACGGTTTCTTCATTGTTCAAGCTGCGTATGCGGCTCATCTCCTTCTCGGCTATGATGCTAACTTTATCCCCACCATCATCATAATAACAATAATAACAACCATCATAATTATTATTGTTTTTATTATTAGCTTTATTATTATTATTATTATTATTATTATAGTTAATGTTATTATTATTATTATTTTTATTACTAGTGACGTCATCAGCAACGTCATCAGAGTTGTTACCGCCTGTTCCGAAATGGCTGACGAGTTGCTTTTGATGTTGATGTCGTTGTTGTTGTTGTTGTTGTTGTTTACTTTTAACGTTATCGCCGATGACGTCATCGAGGACAACGATTTCGTAATCGTTGTGGTCGCTGTCGACTTCGAAGCGATTTCTACGGTGATTGGTCGAACGATTTCTTTGTGAGTTGTTGATGCTGTTGTTGTTGTTGATGACGTTGTTGATGTTGTTGTTGTTGACGTTGTTGATGTTGTTGATGTCATTTGTTGTTATTGTTGTTGTTGTTGCAGTGTTGTAGTCTCCCAGAAACATTGCCGATTCAAAGGTCATTGGAGTTTTTGTTATCGGGACCAGAGGGAAACGTTTGGTTATCATCTGGTGTTTGTTTGATTGGTTGTTTGGTTGGTTGATTGATTGATTGATTGGTCGGTTAAAGGGTTGATTGATTGGTTGGTTAGTTAGTTGGTTGATTGATTGGTCGGTTGGAAGATTGGTTGGTTGACTGATTGATTGGTCGGTTGGAAGGGTGGTTGGTTGGTTGGTTGGTTGGTTGATTGATGGGTCGGTTGGAAGGTTGGTTGGTTGGTTGAATGGTTGGTTGGATGGCTGGCTGATTGATTGGTTTATTGATTGATTAATTGATTAATTGACTGACTAATTGTCAAATTGATTTGTAATAAC